GGATTGCCCGTTGTATTGCCCCGCGTGCAAAGGCCGCTGTTAGTCGAGCACAACTGAGGATGAACCCTGAAAAAAACATGCAAAAACTTGACACAATTGATGATATTTATACACCAGCAGTCACGAAGGGGTGCCTATAAAGCGCTCCTTAGGGGGGGTGTTCAATTAAGACCCCTTTGTGACTGCTGGTGATAACATCTGACATGTGGTAGGGGTGACACAAATTCAGTTCTTTTCTGATGGAAGTCCTGGGATGAACCACTCCTGTTAGCATGAACCCTGGTACACGTCTCCACCAACCACCCCTTGCTCAGCAGAGGCATCTTCCGCTTGACCTTGTTTTTTAAGAAACCACCACTGGAACGCGTGTCAATGCGTGTCATTCGCGTGTCGGTGGTTTTCAAGGGGTGCCCATTAACCACTCACTTAAACAAAAGGGGTGTCTATTAGGCACCGCTTTGGTGCGTGTCGGGTGGTTTTTGCATACCCCCAGTGCGTGTCAAAACGTGTCGGAAATAACCCATTTTTGGATTATAGTAGATTTGCAGAACACCTGGCTCAACTAGCATTTTGCACGTGAGCCTGCCTGTTGGCGGCTTCCAGAGTCAGCACGAAGAGCCGCTGAATGAGAAAATGGGTGGATGGGTTTGGGTGAGGGATCGACTACTTTGCCTCCAACTCGGTTTAAGATATATATCTTTTCTCATGTTCCAAACAATGACCATCAAAGGGGTGCCCAATATCCACTCACTTAGAAGATCTCAAAAATAAAAACCAAAAAAGCATTCCTTTGTGACTGCTGGCATACTGTATATCATACATATTTTTTTTTTTTGGTTGGGAGACGGCCAACGGCAACAAACAAAGATCAGCAGTGTCTTCTTGTGGCCCTATGGTTGATCCTCAAAAACAGTGGAAAACAAAAGGTTCAGGTGGTGGGATGCGGTGGGTGGGTGAGTGCGTGGGCCATACACTGTATATATACACAATCGGGGTTGGAATTAAGTGGGTACCCCGGGGGTAGCGATTTTATAGTGCTAAAATGCTGGGACCAACCCCCCTCCAATCATGGTCACTTTTTGACCCTATAAAATTGAGGATAACATAGGAAAAGAGTCCAACAACAAAGATTCAGCTCTATAGAATTGAGGGCCATTAGTCTGTCAAAAGCTGTGGAAAATGGGGGATATTGAGGATTTTGCTCTACCAAAATGCAGGTCCTGAGGTACTCCCGAACAGGTGTGTTTCAATAGGAGTAAGAAACTGGTTCTCTATAGAATCAAGGTAGAGGGTTCTGAAGAAAACATAAAAATGCAACTTTCGAGGAAGGCATTGATTTCCCAGTTGGTAGGACCACAAATCTATAGAGAATATAGAAGGTGTTATGGAGAGGTAAGGATCTGTGATTTTATAGTCTCCTATAAAAACTCTCGGAATCAGGCGAGTTTTGAAGTCCAAACATTGAAAATACATCAATCTCTATAGAATTGCAGTTCCTAATATGCAAAATCATGCTAGTAATTATCTATAGAATCAGTATGTCTGAGGCACCCAAATCCACTGCACCATCACTTGAAAACCTTTATAGAATCGAGCTTGTAAAAAACAACAATTCTCTATAAAATCGAGAAACTTGCGGATGAGGACTTTCAAGCCTCCATGAGAGCCAAGAAAAAGTTGCTAAAACATCGCCCCGCGATTTTGCAGAGGAAATTCCACCCCCTATTATACACAGTTGTATTGGTAATGCTATCAGCATCTCATTGCACGGACATGAGGCAGACCGACCGTCATGAAAACAAAAAACCAACGAGGGTATCACCTGCTCAGGAACGTAGCATCACTCAAGTCCTGCAAACAATGATCCTCAGCACTTGGCCTCCTGCGCCCTAAAGAGAATTCCTCGGAAAACAGTTCTTTGCAAACACCCAGGCCTCGAAAGAGTTGCAGGAGCTCATGGCACCACTCACCACAAGTCAACTCAACAAGGTCTTGTTGTCCAGATAGCGGGAGATTTCACTTAAAGTGTAGGAAGAGGTGCCTGTGTGCGCTTGGGGCCTGGGTGCCCGCGGCTTGGGTGCTGGTGTCACTGCAGGGTGTTGCTGCCGCTGCAGGGTGCCGCTGCTCCAGATGTCTATGGCAAAGTGCGCTTTGGAGCCTGGGTGCTGGTGCCGCTGCACCAGCGCTAGCCACAAATATAAGTACAAGTAGTGCTCTCCGGGGTTGCTAAAAATCTCTACACCCATTACACCAACACATGTTTCTTTTCTTCACGTGCTTTACGAGTGCTCTCTCCGCTCGTCCACGGCGTCCCGCTCCGTCCGCGGTTCGGTTCCGAGTCACCGATCCGCGGAGGCTGCGACCTGAAACGAGGCGCGGCGACGAGACCTGTGTAACTTGTGTGTACTTTGGTGGCATGTGACGATATGTGACGGTATGTGCTTGTTTGATCTTGCTTGTTTGTTTGGTTGGTTGGTTGTGTTCCCCTCTGCCTCCCCCAGCTATGACAGAGTTCAGAGTGCAGGTAGTGAATACATGTGATTTTGCAAGGGTGCCGGGGAACCAAGAGCTGCGAACGTCTGGTCCGGTGGAGATGCAGGTTGCCCAAACACACCAGATTGCCCGAAGGGCTCTCTCTCTCTCTCACTCTCTCGGCATCTGGCTACAACGCAGCTGTTTCGTGTAGTCCTCAAATTGCCCTGTCGCAGTGAACATCACCCTCCACCAAGGGTTTCTCATCCATGGGTTCCACTTTCCTACCACGTGTCAGTCGAGTCAATGCAAACTAACGGTCAGACCGAAGGGCTGATCCGTCGGAAGATCCGTTTTCGCCCATGTAAACAGCTTTAAAGGGCCGGTCGCAGCCTCGCAGCCTCTCCTTTTGATCCAGTCATGAATGAACAACTCATACAAGATCATACAAGCGTGTGCTCCAAAAAAAGAGCATGCGGGAGTAGTGTTGAGTAGCTCCGAAACTTCTCCCAACCACCCAGAAAGGAAACTTACTAAGACTAAGACACGCAAACACAAAAAACTGCCAAATCCTCCCAAGAGTGTGAGATGAGAAGATTCTGCCAAAGAAGTCAGATTCAAGGACGAGTACTACTATAGTATACTGAGTATTACTTAGTCAATGGAGAGCGGCCGTGCCTTCCGCTCAAAAAGCGCTCGGAGATGCGAAGTGCCTGGGGCACTCGGCTTCAGATCGTCGACCTCCTCTCCATCGGCGTCCACGTTTTTGGTTTCACCAACGGGTTTCACACATGCATGCGGGGGTTCTGTGATTATGTGAAATGTGGCTTCTAAAGGTCTCATTCGATCAGGACATCAACAATCGTCCCACATGGGGCCCACAAGGCCTGGAGTCATTCAAATGCTATGCTGATTGCCACATATTGCAAACTACTCACTAGAATGATGATATACAAATATGATGCAAATGTGTATCAATATGATTGAACGTTCAACCAACGCATCATGCATACATCGGCCCTTTCCACTTCCCGCATGGGACATGGGCTCCGAAGTTTCGATTGCCAAAGCGCGGTTTCATTTTTGCGTCACATGTCACTTCAAAAAGACCCGCGTGTTTGGTTACTTTTGCTGATCTGAAGAAGCATGTCAGAAGGAAAAACACCCGACCTCAATCGATCTCATGTGTCCGACCATGGTCCAAACCGACGCAAGTCCCAAAGCTCACGGCCTGGAGCACTGCCCATCTCCAGCCTTGTGGAAGGAGACGAGGCGCCCAAAACTAAAAATTGTTCTACTTGCCATGCTATGCCAATAGGATCCAATAGGGCTTGCCCTGGTCATCACATCGTGCCTCACGGTGGTTGTGATGCTTCCGACTATTGAAGGAGTTGCCGGTCCAGTCCCCAGCCGCTCTGGGAAATTCTGTTGGATGGCAAACCTGGAAACCATCTGAAAAACAAACTCCCCCACCCTAAATCAGCCCCGCCCATCTGTCTTAGAAGACAACATCTCACCACCCCATTATGCTGCACACTTGACCACTCTGAACAACTCAAAGTCCGCTTCGCCGCCTTTCCTCCAATCCTTCGGCCTCGTCGAGGCCGAGCGCAGTGGCGTCGGAGTCGCCGCGGGGCTCGCCGCACGGAACGCCCGCTGCAAAGCTCCGTGCGCCGAGCACTCCCCGACATCCGCGGATGCGTCCGCGGACGCGAGGGCGCGCGGCGCAGAAGGGGAGGGAGCGGCACCTCAGGCATTGAATTGCAGGAATTCGGTGCTGGGTGATTTATGTTTGGAGTTTTGGCATCGAAGCTTCTTTAGAACCCGGTCCCGGAATGTGGAGAATCCCGGATTGAGTCGACAACACCTGACTCAGCCTTACTTTGACCTCACTGTTGGGCCCTGGTCGAGCATCCCGCATCAAAGAAACCGAAGTATACGCCCAGGGCAAACAGTCCGGAATCCCCACATGTGGCCCGTGTTGATATTGGTGGAAGGAACAAGAAATAATGGGCCACAAGGCTGCAAAATTTGTAAGTCCATGCGGCCTTTCGCTCATGCTCAATGCCTCTTGAGGCAAGCTTAAAGAATAAGCAAACCGAAACGCAAGAGTTGATTGACAGCTAAAAACAATTGATGACAAAACCTCTTCCCCCTAGCATTCACCAACAACAAGGCTATGGCTACGTGGCTATTTGCTGCATGCTACTTACTACGAGTACTATGGCATCAACTCCAGCTTTCTGGTCCCACAGCAAAACCAAATATCAAACCATACAAATCCCCCAGCAATACTTGCGGCAGTCCGAGCCCATCCCAAGACCCTTCAGTTGAACTGGGTGTCCAGGATATTTTTGGTATGTCATGGTGACCAGTGCTGGGGCGCATCCGCGTGCCATGCTGGCTTGATCAAGCGTGCCAAGCAATAAACCTTTTCCCTTTTTGCCCACGAAGCAATGTCACATACATGCGGTCTACAATTGATCGGAGCAAGGAGATGTGGGCGGTAAGCTGGAGGGATGAGGGATGGAGATGATGGAGTGAAGTCAAGGGTCAAGCATTTTGAAGGATTTCAAGGTGGTTTGGCGCATTTCGACTCCAAACACGCGTAGGCCTAGACATATTCACAAAACTGGATGGCTGCGGGGCAGTTTGCTCAGAACCAGGCGCCTGTGACATGAAGCATTACTGTATTAGCCAGCTAAGCCAAAGGCCACATTGAGCACCGACCTGGACCTACCTTTCATATAGCATTGTTCTCAAGGCCATGCTCATCTGCAAAGGGATGATGCTCCATTTGTGTCCAGAAAAATCTCAGCCTTCCTCACCTCACAGCAGCAGCACTTCGGCGGGACAACCGCCGGAAAAACGAGAACTCAGCGAGACCGGTGATGCCCAGACCTGTCCACAGTGCGAGAACGGGCATCCTGAATCCGATTCTGAGGCATCGGTTCTACTCCTCAGGGCATTCCTGCGCACTACTATACTATAGGAATCCGTACGACATCTTGGCAGGATCTATTTCCAATCGTTTGCTCTTCAAAACGGTCAAAGCTCTGTGAGAGATCTATACTGGCAACTATTCCTCCAGCTCACAACTGTTCGCCAACTTCCCATTTTTGGCCACTCTTCTTGTGTGTTCTCTTGGCGCGAAAGCATCACTTCGTATGTGCATTCCAACAAGCAAACCCCCCCAAGACCCTGAAAGAAGGAACTTGAGAGGGGGGCCGGGGACGAATGGTTGGTAAAATTGGGAAGGTGCACACAGGTTGGTAAAGCTGGGATGGTTGTAAAGGTCAGGGAGTTCTGCGCCTCAGGTTGCTGAGGTACTCAACCAAACTCATTGGTTAGGGGTCCCCCTATCAGCCCACCGGTTGCACATTTGTAATTATGATCACAATTTTTGCTCAGTGAGCCGTGAGCCATCTCGGAGGTTCCAGCGGATCAATTCCGTTGAAAGGGCGGGGTCCATCATTTGCTCATGTCGACCATGTCGAGCATTAGTAACATCGAAGACCGGCTACCAGGGGTTCGCGACTGCTTCTGTCCACCAAAAGGTGTCTGCGCAGGTAGTGCATGACGATCTAATGGGTTTTTAGATTCTAGATCAACATGAGGCGCGGCTTGTATCAAGAACCGACCCCGCATCAGCTCAAAGGGGGCACACTTCGTAGAAAACGATCCCAGCAATCCACATTGGTTATAGCAAGGGCTCTACACGGGCAATCGGACGAGCCTTTCAGCGATCGGAGGCCCAACGATAACCACACGGATACACCGACTGGCACGTGAAGAGGTCCCTGGCGCGCGTGTTGGCTGACTCTCACGCAGAATGCTCCAGCAGCTTCAGATCTATTCTCCGCCGCTCCTCCAGGGGGATGGTAGCTTGACGATGGTTGGTCAACATGCCAACCAAAACTAAGGAGTGAACAGCAAAAGCTAAGAGCCCCGTCCCTGGCCCATTCCGAAGGACTGTGAACAAGGAGAGGGACAACCCACTAGTTCACTGCAGGGTGTTCGGTGCACATGCCACATGCAAACGATTGACAAATACAACGCCCCATATTGAGATGTAACGCCATTCTGGTAGGGGGTTCCTTGAATCAACGAAGTAAATCTAGTCGAGGACGCTGTTGACGAGGAAGTGGCTGGACGAAACATCCCTAGGATCCTCGGGTGCTTCTCGCAGCCAACCACGAGGAAGCCCTTTACGTAGAAGTTTGCAAACGGCTAGGCAGCTGTCCTTGTTTGGTGGAAAGAAAGCTCTTGATGCTCTTGGAAATGTAGCCTAAACTAACAAACAAGGAACTCAAAACAAACGCAACTAACGAGGAAACTGTTTCCTTCACCGGAAAATGACATCCACACCCTCCGCTGAAGTGTCTAACGAGGAAGTTAGCTGAACAACTATTTCCTCGTTCGTTGTTGATTCTGGGAACAGCAATGATTGTGGCACAACACCAGTGACCAGTGGAAATCCAACACACACATGGAACTAGCCCTTTGATGAAATTGGACCATTTCTGGTACCAAGCGCAATCGATACTGGACACTTTCCATTCCCACGAATAGGGCTGTGGGCCATGATGTTTTCCAAATGCAACCTATAGAAGTCCTGGAAACGGTCATAGCCGCTTTGGTGATCTGTTTGTGGGTCGGCCGAGCCTGTATGCTATATCCAACGACTATGAATTGTGATCTTGAATTTTAACCTTCCCTGAACCTGATAGCTGACATAGATCCCGCCCTGCTAGTGGGCGCGGGTAGTTGCTGAACTACTTAGGGCCTTAGGGTGGGATCACCTGAGTCACCTGTCCCACAGCTGGCGAGGTGGTCTCTTCAGTTCACAGACCTTGGTTGAGTAGACCTAGGTGGAGTGTCCTGAACCTAGTGGGCACTGGTCCCGGAGTCCCGGAAGTCCAAATGAAAGCACCTTATGCACCTTCAACTATATAGTTCATACTATGCAATTATATTTAAATATAGTATTCTGTCGATTTTACATATGTCACAAAAATGGTTACTGTCCAGAAGGCAAAAAACACAACAATGAGTTCAAACTCATGGCCAGGACAACTCCACATGGCCAGGCCAAGGTGTTCGATGACCGACACCTTCAGTGCCCAGGTGTTCCACATCTGGGCTCATCTCCTCGGGGCTCATCTGCATCACCGATGCTTCGCCTGCGTGACTTGGTGCGGAGTCGGCTGTCCCCGAGTCCGTGTGGAGAACGGCTGTCCCCGTTTTCGGCTGTGTGCCGGGCTGGTCCTATAAACTATAAAAACAACCCATCCAGTGTATTCTATGAGTCAAAGTGGACATGTTCAGCAAAGGTCTTTAATGATCTTTAATGATGTAATGAGGGTTTTGAAGAATAGGTCTGCAAAAAGGATCATCATTCTTGAACTGGCGAATCATCGGAGAGCCAATCATGTCCTGGAGGTGAGCACAACACAAAACGAAGTTCAGTCCGTATGGGAATCAAGGGTGTTGGCTGTCTCAGCTTAGAGGCAGGATCAACCAGGTCCCTCCCACGAACGCTACCAAGAGCAACGAATTCCGAATAGGTGCTTGGTGAAGATTGATGCTTCATGACTTTCCTAGTCCTGTGTGCTCGTGGTCACTAAATCATATAGTACGAGTACTCAGGTCAAATGACACAGAACAATTGAGGTCACATGACACGCAACTTTTCCAGGGAAAAGAAGAAGTGTGAACAAACGCATCATTAGCACGCACTCATGACGATTCATCATTGTATTGTCATTGTGTTTTTTTGTGTGTATTCCGCTGTGCTCCTGGGAAAGGTAGTAGAGCTAGTGACAAAGCACATATGACAGGACCAGCACTTGTCTTTTTCATTTGCACTCCACATATGTCGTCGCGGTAGTTTGCGGTTTGTGGAGTTGTGTGCATTAGCTGTTTTTTGGGGGCATGGACTGGAACCCCCCAGCCATAAATCAACCAAATATATCATATATATATATATGTATTGTAAAATTTACCTGGAATGAGCATGGGCCGTGATATCCAGCCCCACCCATTCCAGGTAGATGTTCATGTTTCTTAGGGTGGTCCAAACCCTAACCCTCATCATGTTTCCTTTCATTTTTGTTGATCCTTTTGATCGTCTGTCGTGGCCCTGTGTCACTGGGCAGGCTAGCCATCCCGAGAGACATGCTAGTAAAACACATTAAGAATAAGTTTGGGAAACAAACTGCAGTGAATCTGGGGACAAGACTTAGGCCTTATGTAATTGAAGCTCACCTTTATGCGTATCCATTCTTAGAGTCCCATCCTATGTACCATTATTTTTTGTATCCGTTGTTTAAGCGTGTGAAGCTAAGGCACCAAGTATTAGGTCATCATCCTTTCTATGCAACAACAATTGCTTTGAAGACAGTTGGAGACGACCTCTGGTATCTCTTGTTTGTTGCGTTTTACCGTTTTGTTATTAGTTTTCGCCTCGTGACATGCAACATCATTTTATATACTCTGGGCATAAGTAAGCAAAATCCCCGTTGGAACGGGACTGAAAAAGGTGGCACCGATGTGCCGATTCTGCCCGAATGCAAATCCGCTTCCCGACCACCAGCGCAGTGCACCAGCACACCTGCCGCGCGGCGTGTGCGGCATGTGCTCCAAACCTGGCGTGCGCGGCGTGTGCTCCAAACAAAAGGAAAGGCAAACTCCTCCAGTGACTCCTAGTGCAAAGCAACTCTTTCTGTGCAACACTAGCAACTTGATGGACATTACAGTAAAGCATCCTGAACACCCTTGGACTCAGGAATACGTGATTCTATATACAAATCAACCTGCAACTTCTTTACGTTGGCACACCTTCTTTGCAGTCCAGGACCGCCTTGTGAGGGCCCAAGTTCTGGCTCTCTACGTCGAGCTCGGCCATTGGGCCATTGGGCTGGGAAAGCCATCTCTAAGTAGTGCAACGGGGTGACAAGGGAGGACCAAGTGCTCCAAATCTCCAAGTCCAGAAAAAGGAACCGTCCAAAAGGTTGCCGATGGTCCGTTGCAAAGCTACCTTGCCTGAAAACAGCCTGGTCAATCTTAGGAGGAGGCAGCTAAACACGAGATTCATTTCCGAGCTCATTCATGCAAATCATTGGTGAGAAATCAAACGTTTCCTAGCTGGTCTGCTGCCCGTTTGAATCACTCAGATTCCCAAAATGCTCCTAGATGTCCGATTTTCCTATACGTTCTCGCTGGACTTTGGCATCTCCCTTCCCAATAGCTTCCCTTTCCCCTCAAACTTGTTCTACCAAATTCTCCAGAGTTCGGGCGAATAGAAAAGAGAATGCAAGGAGACAACAAGCCATGCAGAAAATGAATCATCGTCTACGGAATGTGAATGGCATTGAATAGCCAAAGTGACAACAAAAACGATTCAAAATCATTGAAGCCGAGCACCGGTTGCAACGCAACATCCTCCTCCCAGTGACTATGTTCCACTTCCATGTCAGTAAGTCAGTCCTTGGAATGGATCAGCAATAGGTCAGCATGCTTCCGTTCATCCGCCTAACCGCGAGGACGCACCGAAGCACGGAACGACCGAACATCGCGTCTGAAGGCGAGGTACGGTCTGTTCCACAAACCGGGACCTGCAAGGAATGGAGAATGGACTGCCGCATCAAACAGTGTAAATGGAGGCCTGAAATGTATTGCATCCTCCAGAGAGCTGATTACTAGCTCCGCACTCCAGTCACGTCTTGCCGCAAAACAGCTGTGGTTAATCATCAAAAAAATGGTAAGGAGAGTCCCAGTTGTTCTCTTATATACAGGATATATATATATATATTTATACAATATCATACATATATATATATATGTACAAAAGTGTTAAACGCTTCCATACATTGGCACGTGTGCTTTCAATGGCGTTTCAACAGCACCCCACATGAGTATGACCATCACTGATTTCCTGACGAAGTACTCAGGCACACTCCAAACCCAAGACTCTTCACTTGCAATGAGCCGATCCGAAAGCCACAAAGGCTCCAGTCAGTTTGATTGGAATGTACGCTGTTGTATATAAACCTCCCCCGCCTAGATGGTGAAACATCTTTAGTCTTATTATTCTTTGGGGGGTGGATTCATAAGCCAGCTTACATCAGTTCCCCCATCATTCTCATCTTTGACATCGCTGAGAAGCAGTGTCACTTTCGTTCGAAGACAATCCTAGCCAGAGCTGAAGGAAAGTTGTCAACCAAGTGGAATCTCCTATCTGTCATGCTAACAAGGGTTCTATATTTCTTGTTTTTTTGGGGGGGTCAGTCCAAAGCAATGTTCCCAATACCAAAACCAGTTCCGGCTCTTTCATGGGGTGCGTCAGCCAGGTGGCGGTCATGCCACAAGCCTTCGTGAAAGATGTCCATTTGACGTGATGTTCCTGGGAAATCACACAGAATCGAGGATGTGAGTGCTGTTCTTCTTCCTGGTGTTCCGCATCGAATCCAGGGATCCCTGTGCTCGGAACCTTCCAGCAAAAGTCTTACTTTTCTCCAAGTCACCCATCAATGCATCAGGCTTTGAGACAGAAACCATGTACATACCGTCCATATGATTATGGCTGAAACATGGGTTACCGGGTACCACCTTGACTCACTGGGTAAGGCAAAACAACTGTAGTCTGGACTCTGGACTGAATAATGCAAGGTAAATCAAGGTAATGCAAGTCGGAGATTGTCAAAGCGGAACCAAACATGGTCATCCAGCTTGGTTATATACAGCAAAAACATGTAACAACACCAATGTACGCTCTCTGTTTGTAATTCCGGATCTTACGAACTGATTTCTGGTATGTTCTGCATTCTGCCTCACATCGCGTTTCATCTTCGTGCCATTCTATGTTTCAGTCATTCTGGAAGCGTATTATTGTCGGCTTCGTTTCTCTCAGGCAAAATTTGTCTACACTGTGTACATTCTCCGCTGTTTTTTACACCTCAGACCGCACTACTTCATGTTATTGGGCCGGTGATGCCTGCATGACAATTGCGCGAGACGGGCATGAAAACACGACGGTGGCATAGCCGCTCAATTCAAGAATCGGTGTTCTGTTCTGTTCTATGCCTTTTTCCGCCAGGTGCCTCTTGTGCACAACTGCACTCATGATTGCAGCCAAGCGTCCCTAGAATCCCGCTGCAGGGAAGGGCGCCCAAAGCCCCCTTGGCAAAGCTTGCGGCCAAAGGCCTGACCCTTGTGAACATCAAGCAAAATCAAATATAAAAAAGAAAGGAGAAAGGGAGCGAGCCAAAAGTTAGTTCATAGTTTATATAAAGATTTAAAAAAATATATAACTATATATATTATATATATACGATGCTGGACTAGACTGCACATTAGTGAACGAACCTTTTCAAAGAGAATAGGTCCCCCATGGTCCCCGACATGGCCCCCATGATCCTCACGTGCCCAGCCTCCCTTGCCCGCTGTCCGCCATGTCCAATCCTGCCACATCCCGCCTGAGCCCACTTCCGGGGCTGAGCAGCGGGCGGGTGCACAGCCCTGAGCGGCTTGGAGCAGAGGAGGGGAGGACGCAAGAAGGCTCCATGGCGTGCATGGAGCTAAATGATGTTCATTATAAACTTTAAAAGCAAACTCTTCTTACTAGTAGTAAGGATGCTCCTAGTAGTACGGCCAGGAGCCCCTAGTAGCGTCCTTGCTCCTAGTAGCGATGCCAGGAGCCCCTAGTAGCTTCTTGTTACTAGTAGTAAGGATGCTCCTACTGATCTGCCACACACACAAAATGTTCATCTTCAGGTGTGCTTTCGACCGTATATTCATCTGCTTGACACTTGCAAAAAGGTGCCATACCAGCACTGCAGCAAGGATCTATCTCATGTAGGCTGGCACTTGACGCCGTCGTTGAGCAGTTCGACGTTGATCTGCCAAGCCTGGACTCAAAGGACGAAACCAATCCCAGTCAAACTCTTTGGGCAACCCCTCTATCGCACACATTTTGAGACATCAACAGGGAACAAAAATAGGGGGAAAAAAACGGTGCCTTGTCCAGTTCCATGGGCCTCGAAGCATCTGATGGGGACTCATGGTATGTACCCATCGTCTGAGGGTGAGGAGCATGAAATCATGAAGAGGGCAAAAATGTTACAATGACATACCGGTTAGTTAGTTTTATGCTTGGGCTGCGGTTTACCATTGTATAGTGACATCACAAACCGGTTAAACAATGAGCATCATTGAGCATCATTCCAGCAGATTGGAGACCATTCTGGCCATGGCTGAGGTCATCCCAATCAACTCTCAAAGGCCTTTCTCTCGTGTGGCCGGTCCCTCCAAGTGTTTGGGGGCCCATCTCATCGAAAGTCGGTGACACCAAACAGACATATATACTGCATTCAAGAAAAGAACTAGACGACGAGTGGCCCGAAAGCATTTTTCATCACGTAGGAAGTCAGAGTGCGAGTTATCCGGTAAGTGTGTAGTGAGAAGTGTTAAGTCGAGTGAGTTGAGGTAGTGTGTGGGTTTCTGTGCGTGTGTCTATGTCCGTGTGGAAACGAGTCTGCGTATGTGTGTTCGTGAAAGTTGAGGGAGTGTGTGGGTGTCTGTGTGCGATGCGGCCTCCCAAACCCCCCACCAGCGGCCAAGCGGTGACAGCCCAGCTCATCGTCGTGAGCATTTGGGCTGCTGGTAAGGGGAGAAGCAGCGTGCACGGCGCCAGGAAAAGCTCACGGAAAAAAACGAACCGGAATGAGGACACAAAAGTGCCAAGGCAGGTGCGCCAGAAGTGTCTCGAAGCAGTGACCTGTCAGAGGAGATGAACGAAGTAGCG